AGGAATATATTGAGATGATCTATCTAGAAAAGAAGCTGAGAAGCTTTATCTGTGATCATCATAAAATCCAGCATATATTAACACAATTTTTCTCAACATGTATTTGTGCTCAAGCTGAGCAATCTTAAAGTGAAGGAAGGAATGCTTCCCACTTCAGGACACCTAAAGTACAGTTCAAATGCAAAAGATCGGATCAGATCAGGCAGATCAGATGCAGATGCAAAATAAAAGTGCCTGTCTGGCCCAACAATATAGCTTAGCCACCATTTCAGAACAGCACCCCCTACTGCATTAGTGTAGCATCACTTATACTGTCAGCTGTCATTTAATGCCAAATGACTTTTCAGGCACTGGTCAAGCCAACAAGACATTGACTATTTTTGGCTTTGAGATGAGCTTCTGGCCTCATGTCTGCTTCATTATGGAGGCTGCATATTCCCACCTCCATAACATTATACAGCTCCACTCTCACCTCAGCTCTTTCACAACAGCTTCACATCTATTCCTTAGTTACCTTTAGACTTGGCTAGTCTAAATTATTGTTGATCAGTCTCCCAGATTCTACCCTACCTAAACTTAATTTCATCAAAATTCTGCTGCCTGTGTCCTACCTCATATCAAGTTCTGGACAATCATCATTTCTGTATTTACTGAATGACATTGGCTCCCATTTAAATAATGCTTTGATTTTAAAATTCTTATCCTTATTTTCAACTGCTTACATGGAATCACCCCTTCTTATCTCTGTAATCCCCTCCAAACTCTGGGTCACAGTTTAAGGAAACAGGGTAGGCCATTTAGGTCTGAGATGAAGAGAAATTTCTTCACCCAAAGAGTGGTGAACCTGTGGAATTCTCTGCCACAGAAAGCTATTGGGACAAAAACATTGTAAGTTTTCAAGAAGGGGTTAGATATAGTTCATAGGGCTAAAGGGATCAAAGGATAAGGGAGAAAGTAAGACCAGGGAACTGAGTTGGATGAACTGTCACAATAATACTGAATGGCAGAGCAGGCTCAAAAGGCTGAATGACATACTTGTGCTCCCATTTTTAATGTTTCTACGTTTCCTAACCTCACAATCTACTAAGATATCTTCACTCCAATTTTAAGAACTGCTGATGCTGGAGTCAGAGATAAAACAGTGTGGTGTGAGGAACACAGCAGGCCAGGCAGCATTGGAGGAGCAGGAAAGTTGACGTTTTGGGTCGGAACATTTCTAAAGGAGGGTCCTGACCTGAAACGTCAAATTTCCTGCTCCTCTGATGCTGCCTGGCCTGTTGTGTTCCTCCAGTTCCACACTGTGTTATCTTTCACTCCAAGTCTATTTCCTTTGTGCATTTTTATTTTAATCTTTCCACCATCAGTAGCCATGCATTCGGCTGCTAAGGCCTTATGCTCTGGAATTTTTTCTCGGAACTTTACCATTTCTCATCCAATTTTTCCTCCTTTAAGAGGCTCTTTAATATCAACATTTTTGGCCATCCACTGTTATACCTCCCTATGTGGCACAGTGTCACAATCTGCTTTATGGCACTCCCAGTAAATGCCTTTGGGATGTTCTATTATGTTAGAAATGCCATATAAATAAAGATTGCTAATATTTTTGAGAATTATGAAACTTTTTTTCACTTTGGATTGCCAGTCCTCCAGGAATTGGTAGTGGATAGCCTAAACAATACTGTTAGAAATGAGGAGAAACTAGTATAACATGACACTAGTATTATTCACCTGCAGCCTTCCACTTCTCTGGCCATCTGCAACTTGGCCAAAAGAAACTGTAAACTGTGGCCAGCCTGCAGGCTAACAAAGGACATACCACTATTACATGACTTGCCATTGTAACTGTGATTCAACAGGCCACTTCTGAATCACCAATGCAGTGTTCCATGTAGTTTGGGGACTACAGAAAACTCCTGGAGTTGCCTTGCAATCATTTTTATAAAGAAACTACTCAATTTATGTAAAGAAAGAAATAATATGAGTCAGCCCCTGGAAAACAATACAAATGCTTTGGAACATACATCAGAGAAGTTAGCAACACAGCCTCATGAAAGGAAATTATATACCGTATGGAAGTTGCTTCTCTCAATATAATAATCTTTCTTTCCAAGATTTTTTTTAATTTTTCTGTTCATTTTCCCAATTTGATCCCTCCTTGCATGAAAGTACTAACTCTTAATAGGCCATAGTTCTGCTAGCATGGACTCTCACTGAGTACTGTTCTCCTACTATTAGGGTACAATTATCCTGGTGCTCTCATTGCGCTGCTGGGCACTGATCCTTCCTTTATCCTTGGAAGTAATTCTCATCACAGTACGATGGTTCTGAATTTTACTAGGCTGCGGTTTCTCTGGAACTGACTGTCACTGAGGTATAGCTCTGCAATTTTCAGCTACCCTGCCATGGCTGTACCCTATGTGTAAATTCAAACACTGCCCCATGATCAAATGTTGTATGACCAAACCTCAATGAATAATTCTAACAAAAATTAATAACGCTACAAAGGCCCATTAACATTCAACAAACAGAGAAGCCCTTCATCCACTCATTCTAGATTTGAACCCAAAGGTGAAAGCTAAGTCTGATCAGTCAGCCTGTCCCTGGAGCCCATTCTTTATGTATATTATGCCCCCATCTATTAATGTACCTAGATAATTTGTGATGTAAGTTTAAATTTACAAACAGGGGATCTAAACATATGATATCCTCTTTTAGACTCCTAGTTGTATTAACTATTTTAGCTTTGTTTATCATTATTACTTTTATTACTTCTAAATCATTTTAGCTAAATACGTTTTGATTTAATTATTGGGAAGGTAGGTATTGGAAGATTAAATATTTTTCTGCATCTCAGAATGGTTTGAATGAAAACTACTTTCAGTTGCATTTGTATTACTAGCTAACTATCGACACAAAGTGATTTTTCACACTCACACTCAGTTGTCCTCGCAAACCCAAAATCAGGGCTTGCCCTGATACCAAAGCTAAACTGTCTTGAACAGCTTGGGTTAAATTTAATCCAATACTAGATGAAGCCTAGTTCCATTATCATGTCCAAGCTGGGTTGTAATGTGCTTCAATGATCATGTTGAATCACCTGAACATTTTGTGAAACTACCTGACATTATTTAAACCTGCGAATATGTCCAGCAAAGACAAAAATTCGATTTGAACAATATACTTCTAGTCAGGTAGGAACCAAATAGTGATCTGGTGTTCTATCTGGCCGAAACCAAAACTGATATAAACTGTGGCCCATTCCCAGGCGGATAGCTGCAATATAAATGCACCCTTGTCCGTTTCGATTGATGATAACACACCTTTCAAGTAAACATAGAAACGTAATGGGGTGGGGACTAATGTAGTCACTGTATTTTTTTCTGACATGTTTTTGAAGATTAAAATACAAATGGCAACGAATTTATCTCGCACCAATATAATTGAAAATACACGCTGCTACCAGCCTCACACCTAAAATACGTGTCGAAATAAAGAAAATATCTGAATAAGTGACAATTTTACAACACCCTGCTGATAATTGCCGTATAAGTCTCTTTCCCTTAAAAGCAAGGCTATGTCTATCGATTTAAAGGCGTGCGGACAAACCAGTTGATCGTTTAGCCTCTCTCATATGTTAGCTTCCATATTCCTTGTTTCTATTTAGACTTTTTTTTAGAAATGAACCCAAAAATGACAAACAAATCGATCAAATTAAAATTTAATGATACAGCAATAGTGAGAATATAACAGTAAGAATAAAATCTATTTACGCCAGATTATCGGAAAAGATTTAAGTGAATTTGCCAAATTTCTATCAAATTCAAAACATTGTAACATAATCTGAGGTAGACAATGAAAGACGTCTCTCTATCTTGGGCACAACAAGAATTAAACATTATTATTTATGATTTTTAGACTTCGGGATGTCAGGCAAATGTTTGATTGGCATTTAAAACCCTGTACAGCTCAAATATTATTATTTTAAAAATATTAGAAATATCACAAAATTCAGAGTGCATACAAAGATCTATACATTTTTTTAGACTTAATGTAATTGTTAACTTCTCCATTTTGCACATTAAAGTCTCGTTTAAATACACAAATATGTACAACACAACATATGAACAACAGTGCATTAAAGCTAATGTGCATTTTTTTATACATACGGTCCTGGGGTCAATTATTCCCCCCACCTCCTAGTTGCGGAATCGTGCAATCCGGCCAATTTCCAGTTTGCAACGGGTGGGGGAGGTTACCAAGCAAGTGGTGATTCAACCGAGCAAAACCTTACTAATGGACAGAAGTGCACTTGTGTTTTTTTTTAATCCTAATTCAAGCAAAGCAAGGCTCTCCGAATGTTTTCCCATTGCGATCGCCGGCGGAGGGTAACTATTTGTACAAGTGTTTGCTTGTTCCCAGGTTAAATTTGTAAATACTGTATTGTCTATAGCTGGTGAAATGCCCACCGAGCCCATTGTATTTTTTTTAGCTGTTGCTTTATCAAGGACAGCAAATGCATTTTGGTCATTTCCAGAATTTGTCCTCCACCCCAACCCCAACCCCAACCCCCACTACTACTTTTTTGCAGTTTTTAATCACACCAGGCAGCTTAGATTCCACCATAGATGTAATTACAATCTGCAACAATTCCTTTTTGGCCGACGGCTCTTTCTGGCTGGTAATCTCGTCGGAATGTCAGAAGGAGGGAAAAACCTTCTTTAACAAGAAACCTGGGGGAGCGGAGCCATTCTCTCCTTTCATTACCTTCAACTTTGTGTGTGTGTGTGTGTGTGTGTGTTTGGTAAATTACCCTCACCTTTCAAAAGGCGATCGAGATCAGCAGATAATCGGGGCGAAAAGGGAACATAAAGTTTCTTCCAGTTTTACCTTGTGCTGGCAGGTCGCATTACTATCCGCATGCCAGCCCAGGAAAGGAATTGGTCTCAATGTGTTCCCCATCTCCCTGCACCACCACCTCCCACCCACCCACCCCTCACCCGTTTTTCAGCAGGGACCACCGTGCTTAAACCGCGATTGGAGATTGAGCGGGTATATCCTCCCTCTAGCTCTCCTCCATCCACATATGACTGGCAACATCCAGAGGGGGTTAGTTGGGATGGGGGGTTGGCGCATGTGTCCTCTTGCACCGCTCCCCACCGTCCCCAACCTCCAACCGCACTGAATGACCCTTCACCAACTTGCACTGACATTATGCAATAAAAGTTGGGGAGAACCTAACTGGGAAATGCGCCAGCCATCACAATTCCAGTGGACTGGATAGAAATACGTGTGGGAGGACTAATGATAATCGCCTCTGCAATTGCTGCGACCAGCACTAACTGGTTTGCACAGATTTGAAGGACGTTTCTGCCAACCCGTCCTCCGTCTCTGCCAGTAATGTAGCCCCTATTCTTGCTGGTAATATGATACCTAATAGTGTGTGATAATATCTTGGTGCAGAGGGGTTAGATATCTCCTTACAGGTAAATTGCAGGTAGTGTATTAAAATATCGGTCTCATATCCACTAAATGACGGTATAGGAATAAATTACAGAGAACATTCTAGACTGTTTTTCCCCTCTCGCCTTCTCTTTCTCTCTCTCTTCCCCTGATGTTTTATTCGCGAGCACTGGTAGCGGAGCCACAGCTATTTGAGAACATTTTAAATAGCGGCTATGTTCCACCAAGCGACCAGCCCCGCGCTCTCCTCAAATACTACACCCGGGAGGCTCGCTCCTCCCGGAACCATGGCCACTCTGCTACCTGCAGCCGCATGACTCTACGACCATGTCCTCATACTGCTTATAGACAACATTATTGCCCGCATCGATGTACAGGATGCTGATGGGGCTCAGTTTGGTGGGGACGCAGCAACTCGGAGGCGTGGAGTTCGGGTCCATAGAGTTCATGAGCGTTTGGATAATCGCATGGTTGGTGGGTTCGAGGTGGGATCTGAGCGGGAAGTCACACACTCCCTCGCAGTGATAAGCTTCATAGTCCAAGGGAGCTATTATCCAGTCATCCCAACCCAACTCTTTGAAGTTCACATGGAGAGGTTTTTTACTACATCGGGACTTGGCCTTCTTGCCGTGCCTCTTCCCATGGCGGTTTGTAAAGGCGGTTCGTCTCCTCCTCCTCCTCCTGGCTTTGAACTGGCGTTCGCCTTCCTCGTCGGCGGAGCCCTCTGAGGATTTGATCTTCTCTTTCATCTCGCTGAAGAGATTCTCTCTTTTCCGAGTTCGAGTGAAAACCACCAGCAGAGCTCTTTCTTGGGGCGTTCTCCCCTTCCGTGCGAACCCGATTTGTCTCAGGTCAATATCCCGTTCGCTCTGGCTGGATGTCACCTTCAATTCAAAACATAACTGGGCAGAGTGGAAAAACTGAAATATTTCCCAGACATCAAATACCTCCCATCCTTGTGCATTGGACTGGTGAATGTGAAGCGTGCGGGACTGCAGTAATTTGGACGGTTGTCCCTCGCTGAGGCAGGAGTACAGTTTGAAGTCGTAGAGACCAGACAGTGTCTGTCGAAATTGCTCCGGCGTTTTTCTCAGTAACCTCAATTCGGCCCCGACTAATTCCTCTTTGTTCGACAACGCTGCGACATCGAACAAGTATTTTTGCCGCCTTAAATGTGAATGCAAGACATCGTCTGTAAAAAGAGAAAAAAAGCACAAGTCGGACATTAAAAGGCTGGATATAAACTGGAGTCATTATTTGGCAATCAAAGGGATTTCTCTCAATGAGAAAGGTGAAATTTTCACTTACGAATCTTATCACAGGATCCATCACTGGCAGCCCCAGCCCACTGAATTGAAAACGAACAACCTTTTTTTTAAAGAAAGGTTAATACCTCAAGTAGGTTAATACCTCAAGTTACCAATAAAAAAAAGGAACGCTGATTTATATTCAGAAGACAAGCGCCGAGTTGCCTGCCGCCCTGTTGCCCCAATGAGTTCAAGGAAAGTCCGCTTCAAGATGTGAAAAACATAGTGCTCCTGGTGCTAATTAGACAGATAGGAATCGCTGACACTGAAACAAGCTTTTAACCTAACATTGCTACAAGCAAATAAGATTTAAAGCTACTTTCAACAGAAGCTGCATATTTTTACTAGCTCGAGTCTGCCTGGTCCGTCATTTCTAGAGTAATACGCTCATGATGGATACATGGTTTATGTAATAAACACATTGCCATTTTATATTCGGGTCCTATTGTGCGTTTCTTTTCAAATGGCTGAATTACGTATAAATTATGAGGAAGCACGGCGAGATAGGTTGAACCCAAAATAGCTTCCCCGGAACTTTTCCCAAACTCGCAATAAAACTTGGATATGGCAACCGGTTATGAAACTGGAACCTAAAGATAACTTGGATTTCATGTTTCAATAGTTGCAGGGTTAAGTTTTCGCGCGAACTCGTTGTGAATTGTTATTGGAACCGTTACCAGGTTACTATTGCCAGCCAATATTTCAGCTTCAGAAACAGAAATTGCTGGGTAAGAAGTGGAAGGGTCACTGGGCCCGAAATATGAACTCTGATTTCTCTTGCACAGATGCTGCCAAACCTGCTGAGCTTTTCAGTTATTTCTGTTTTTGTTTCTGATTTCCAGCATCCGCGGTTCTGTTGGTTTAACATTGCAGCTTCTTGAACAGAAATGGAGCGGCCCAGCATGTTAAACTTTTCGTGCCCAGTCCGTCTGCAAGTTGTGGTGCTCTATATTTTACATGTGTCGTTTGTCTGTGCCATTGCGGTTGAAACTCCGGAGTCTGAGAGCGTTTTGTTGAATGGGCCATAAAGAAACGACGCTGATTTGGGAACTTCCCTCAGAAATAGCAGCCAATCCTTACCCAAATAATCTGCCGAGGTAATTATTAAAAAGGCTCAATTGTCTTTACCTCCCAGACACGAACATTTTGAATGGTCGACATTGCTAAGAGGAGCTCAGCTGACACTTTAAAAGGTCTTGCAATCCCAAGCAGCGAATGACCAAACTATATCTAATATATATGAAAGAAGAAACCGCCAGTGTGTAAACTTCCCCTTTTTAGCCACAGTACAATCTCTTATACATATTATAACAACAGTCTAAGAAGTGTTTAATATCGGTTGCAGATGTACATTTTAAACAGGCACTTCCTCACCTCACCACCCCCACCCCCCACCCCACACACACCAGCCCCCACCTACTACCACCGCTCCAAAGAAATCACTGCACAACCCCTTGTAGTCGGAAATAATCAGTCATCGTTCAGCCGCCTGCATATGGAATGATCCAGTTAATCGGTATACATCCACCAAAATGTTGGACCTACAAAAAGTATCAATGAGTAGTGGTGCTAAGTCTATTTTACAAGAAATCACATTGGACTGGAAACGTAAACTTTCTTCTTTTCACAGAAGAGTTTCTCTAGAACCTTGTTTTAATTTAAGATTTCCAGCATCTGCAGTATTTGCTGCATTTGTTTCAGAAATTGTTTGTTTGGCGGGGACTGGGGGTTGGGAAGGCAGTATGTCATTCACTCCAGGTTAGATTCAGAAGGTGGTCCGCCTGGTGTGATGAAAATCAAAGCCTTGAATTTAAAGAATCCAACATCTCAGTTTTGCATTATATTTGAAACTCCGTGGAGTGTTTCTTTTCCTATTACAAGAACATCCAGTGCCCGTCCATGACTGAGGTCTCTGCCACCTCAGTATCTGCTTGGTGTGCAGATATCAATGAAGGAGGTGGGGAAGCTGCACTGTTCGCTCAGTGGTTATCACACAACAGCAGGATAGTTACACCGATGTGTTTTTTCTTCCCAGATTAAGACTACAATGTTTTATGTATAAATTTTCATCGCCGAATTCATAATTTGTTGTGTATCTTTGCTGCAATTCAGAGAAGTGAAGGATTAAGATATCTGTGTGCTCAAATGATTCAGTCTTCTAACCAACCCAGTGTCGCATCACTGACCCCCCAGCTGGTAGCTCTTGGTTCGTTTGGGCCACAGGCATTCGTAATGAAATGCATAAAACCGAGACCATTATCATTGACAGCGGCACTTGTGTGTCATGTTGGGGAATTGCCTGTGAGCCTTCCTTTCTAGAGAAGAACCAAACTTTAGCACACAGACAGCTCTGCCAATTTTAACAGATTTGAATCGGATGAACAATTCCATGTTCTTGTCTCTAATGCATCCACCTTTAATTAGGAGAGCACTTAACATCTCTTCATTCATGACCGGTGCCTGCCCGTGTAATCGTTCGCCATTCTGACAGTGCCTTCTAAATTAAAGAACACCAACCTATTGTAAATGTATTGTTTGACTTTTCCAAATTCAACTTTTCGTTTTATCGGGACTTTTTAAATTCAAAACTCAATTATTACATACACAGTGTACAATACATTTAGCAGGCAAATAGCACCAGCCTTTAATATTACAATTCCTGAATAACTGTACTGTTAAGACTGATTCCCAATACACTGTTCTCCCCATCCCCTTTCTCCTGCTCTGAGTCCCGTGGTCACTGCCTCATGAAGTCTTCCTTTAATGATTAGGTTGTGCTGGTTGACGTGTGGACCAGACTGTGCGACAAACAGTGAGTGTGCATACATCAGGCAGAAAGACTGGTCAAGCTTTGTGAACCCGATGCATCCCTACATTACATCAGTTCTGTCACGGAACGGAAATAAAATTTCACTTTTAACACAGATGAAGAGGATAATCTCTTTCTGGAATTCTAGAGCTATAGACAGTTCACATTCACGCCGATAAGGTACCAAGCAGGCTGCAGAGGGGATTCCAGACGCGGTATGCTCCACATGGGCAATGGATTACATTTCCCGTGTGAATTTTTAAGATGTTTTTTGTGTAAATTTACAGAAAGCCAGTGTCTGAGATGGGTATTCACAAAGAAAACTCCACCTGGGCTCTGTGGAGCACTCCGCTCACTCTAAAGCAGAGTTTCTTCATAGAGTGCTGCATTGTCCTTCCCTGAATTCGTTTCAACTTCCTTTGAACGGAGGGGAGTAGGGTGGGGCTGAAGCTCGGTTAGGGACGGACGCGATCAGGGTGTAAACAGGAGTGTGTTGTTGCGGTGAATTCCTGGATGTTGCATATAGTGAACAGTGACCGTTTTACAGTCCAATTTACCAATAGCAGAAAGTATTTAGATTTACCAATATAAAATAAACCTGACAAGATATCAGAAAGTAAGCAGACTAATGATGGTTACTTTATTATTCCCAAATATGAAAATTATGTTTTTCACAGTTATTTCTGCAACTCAGGACACAAGCTGAATTCGCAAAAAACCCCACGGGAAATATGGAAGCTTCAAGCAGGATTCCGTACATATGGTTGTAAATTGTTTACACCTTACAGATGTATAATTAAAGGATGGAACAGGTAGATCCAGCCAAACGACTAATGTCAGACGTGCCAGGTTGCTATGTTATGGAAGATTGGCTCCAGGAAGCTGCTGCTACCTTCTCCCCACACCGACCGCTCCACAAAACCTCTCAAAAAGAGACAACGCGGCGGAGACGAGTGCTCCACATTCCGGTCTGTGAGCTTATCCGGCCTTCTATTGTCATGTTTTGAAGTGGAAAAAGGACACTGAATTAAAGTCCCAAATGAGTGTTTTCCACTCAGACATGAAGACAGCACTTGTCTTGGTTGAGTTCAGTTGCTAAGACAGGATTGGGTTTAATAATTAAATTTACTTTCCAAACCTGGAGCGCAGACGACAGTCTGAAAACGTTTAGATGTGTTTTTTTTTTGTTGCAGGTAAATTAACGGCGCTACTAAAAATGAGCTGCTCTTACTTGTAGTTCTGTCTACTGTACTTGCTTCGTTCTGCGTCTATACTTATCATCTGCTCTTTCTAGAAGTCTGCCATCTCCCAACCTGTTTTCCTGATCTTATGCATCCCCCAAGTCGGCAACAGGCTTCATTGTAAACACACGGAACTGCCATTAAACAGCACAGAGCGCTGAAATGGTTTCCCTTCTTGAGGTCGGCTCTGACCTCCATAATTCCCCATCCAGCACGGGAGCGGACTAATTTAAACCACAAACCAATTTGCATTGTGCCAACATCGATTCTGGTCCCGGAGCGTCAAAGGGTTGTATGGTGTTAACAAACACTACGGAATAAGCAAAGCTTTGAGTCCCAGCAGTTAATCGTCGTGAAATCTTATTTTAAACAAAATGGTGCATGTCGTTAACCTGCGTTAACAGGAAAGGAGTTTTGTGAAGCTCTGGTTTGGAAGGATTACGTTTAACACTGTCAGATTACCCCCTTACACGCCGGGAATTGTTTCAATATTTCCACCTGATAGAAATCGTAAACTAAATGCAGTTAAAATTATACCCAGTAAATGTGAGATTGAAAGGAAAGCGACTTCGAAAAGAGTCATCTATTAATCTTTCGTCCAGTTTCTTCCGTTTAACCGAATTTGTAGCAGCAGCGTTTCCATAAAACATACATCTTAAATATTTCTACAATGTACGGCAAGGACTTTGCTTACCGATGGTTCACGTTTCGACTTGGTCGGCTGATGCCACTAATCGTTTGGATATCCCTTCTCCCTTCACTTTCCCTGAGCACTGTGTGATATTAAACTTAGATTGGAACCTTCTGTTTGGGCAGTTACTTTAAGCGTCTGTTCCACATTAGTGCTTTTTTTTATATGGCCCTCAAACAAATCGAATACAAGGTCACCAAATAATTAACAGTTTCCAATTCCCTCTTCATCCATTAAAATACTTCTCTACTTATATTTCATTTCCCCAACGTCTTAAAAGTTTGTAAAGACAACAGTTTTTGCGTTCAAGTCTATTCAGTCCTGAATTAGCTAAAGACATCGAGAGGTTCGTTCTTCTGGTTAAAATACAACGTCACAGATTCTGAAAAACTAGCTGATTTTTCAGGCTCTTGCCGCTTGTGTTAAACACGGCTGTATCACACTGCAAACGAAACCTGGAGCACATCATGGATTTGAAACCCAACTAATGATGTATTTAACCTCAAGCAGACAGATGCAACTCTCGAACAGAAACCATTATCCCGACTTGGAAAATGCAGTCGCAGATTCGATTGTGTACTTCATAACAGACACAGTGACGCACGGTTAGACAGAATCGTTATCGTGCTGTTGATGAGACTGGTGATAATGATCTTTTAATTTGCTAGATGTTGCTGGTAATCCCGACGTATTTTCTTGAATTCCTTCCCCCTAATTGTCGGGTTTTACCCTGGAAGTTCTATTGCTGGAGTTGCCGGGGCCAGCGCTTACCATCTGCGTTTTAATGAGTTACTTCATGTGCCAAGAGTAATTTTGCTACATTCAACTAGCTCTTGTCTGATCTTGCGACCGTAACGAACGATGAAACTCGCATATTTCTCCAGCCTTACTTTACTATTTGTGCATGTGTGTGCGTTTTTTTTGTTTTAAAGTATCAACTTATTTCTAAAACCGATCTAACACCGGGAGTGCTCGGTTGGAACAGATGCAGCCGGTTAGAAGCTGGTACTCAAAGGGCTTTTTTGTTGTTGAAGAAATGGCTTCGTTGCTAAAACGTCTGCTCAGTTCTAGCGAGCAGCGGAATTCAGATCCAGCAATTAATGCCTCGCAAAGTAGCGATCACGGAGGGTGGTGGGTAGTAAAAGAAATAACCACTTCAAGAGGAACGGAAGTGCTGTTGAGTTTTGGGGATTTGCGATTGGCTGGGCCAGGTCATTATAGGAGAACAGGCAATGTTTGATATGTTGTGACATGAACACTCAATTAGATCATTGAGTTCAAATACTCAAATCACTGTCTTTATGCTAAGCAACCCTCAGAAGGTCCAGCGCAAGGTCACAGCGGTGACACATTAAATCACATCAGCGAGACGACTGAGGCTCTCACTCTAGCCACTAACTTGTTCACAACAAGCAGGCCCAAACCGAGAAACTGTCATCAAGTTACACCCCAGTCGGCTCTAGAATGACAAACTTGCTTCCCGCGTTTGAACGAGGCATTCCATTTATGATGCTGAAGGAACTTCGCTTAAAAATAAAACCTATTATTTCATAGAGATGACCGTGACAATGTTTCGGCCCCGAACAGGTTTGTAATCAGTTTCCAGTTAACGGCGCATTTCCCAACATGTCCCGTACAGTCCAGACAGCCGCAAAAAATTTCCCTCAGAACTAGTTCAATCGAGGAAGGTTTTGTTTTGACCCGAAGTTGATGGTCTCGCAATGACTAGTGAACCCAACCGCCGAGATAAATGGGAACAATGTTTCAACGGACCCACTGGTTCACACAATTCTTTCCGGGGTTTACACATTGCAATCTTGAGACTTGCTTTCTGATTTCTCCCAAAAATCAAGATATCGATTAGCTTTCAGTCGTGCTTTGTCGCTAACAGCCCAAATGTCGTTCTGTACATCTCTTTGGCATCCTTTTCGATTGGCTGTGGATTTCACTCTGCTCCCACCCCCCCCACCCCACCCTCGCCGCAATGTCCTGAACATTACCCGTCTCTTTGTGAAGAGTTGCAACTAATTTAGATTTTGTCGCTCTCACCACTTTCATAATCACACAAGGCGGACAGAGAGCGTGGGTTCGAAAGATAAAGACGCGGTTTACTTGAATTGCTTGGGGCTGTTTAAGAGGGATGCTCCCGAATTCCCCTAAAACCCGTCTTTTCAAACCTTCTGAAATATCGGTGAGTCTCTGAAGGTGGTTTCAGACCTTTGTTCAGGTGCGCGGAGAGATTAGCAAATTCTTCAACTCCAATCCTGCGTTATCCCTGGGTGTTTGCCGTTACTCCAGGCCACCATCCTATTTTTGGTACTCTCATTGGGAAACACGGCGAGTAATAACCCGACCGCACAGGTAGGCTCTGCGCCAGCGAACTCAGCTAACTCCAGAATGAAGCCGCAGGCGAAGCCACACTCAACATCTGAAGGGCCATGTGTCTGGTGTCCCGGCTCAAGACAAGCGACGCAAAATTAAAGATCACCATGAAATAAATTAAGGTGATTTACACCGTTCCCTTTTCACTGGCCAATCAATGCCGCTGATTTCAACGAAAGCTACAAGGGGAGGGGGGGGGATGGGTGAACAGTGTTCCCGTTCTACACTGAACATCAGACAGGTAATGCTAAAGGAGGGTCCATGTCATGGATAACAGGGCAAGGACAGCATTTACAACAGTCAATAAAACCTAACATCAATTAGCATGTTATTAGTCACAAGTAAACGTCAACTTCGGCTCCAAAAACATTTCCTCATTGAACTAGTTCTTGGGGGAAAACAAACTTGCCTGGACTGTACGGAAGGTGTAGTTTTGACACATTGAGAAATGTGCCGTTAACTGTAAACCGGTTATCAACCTGCTCAGAATCTGCAGCGTTTTCATAGTTCACAAACAGTAATCAGCTTTATGAAATATTAATCGATTTGCAGTCCCTGTCACACCGCCAGCTTAATACCTGCCGAATGATCTCGAGCTCCTGCTTCCACTGTCCCCTCTTGTGAACAAATCAAACGCACAGGTTTTAGCTTGAATTAAAGCTATGGTCGAACCGATCTTTCTGCTTCCCGTTTTGAGATTAGTTCTGAGGGCTTACAACTAGTTTGACTATTTTGCCAAGTGTTTAGAGAATGGAGCAGTGCGTGCCGAGGAAAATAAAAGTACATCAACTCCCACAATGCGTGTGGATAGCAGTACAGGTATTCCTCATATCGCAACTTCAATGATAAAGCTCCAATCAATCTTTACGTTGCGCTGCTTTGAAGCCTGTTGGTTTTAAGGCTGAATTTTAAAGTGTTTTTCCAACTATTTTAAAATCAGGACACGACGAAAGGTCCCGCATGACATAAAATCAAAGACCATAGGATCTTTCTGGAGGGGAGGGAGTTATAAAAAATGTTCTTCGTTTCCTCAACATCGTACGTTATTAAGTGTCCTCTATTGTCTCTTAAGTCACCCCTACAATTTTATACCATCCCGCCCTCTGATTTAATTTTGTGAAGGTAAAATGCGCAAGAAATTGCTAGCAGTCGTTCTCTCTCTCTCTCTGATCAGTAACGCACTACTGGATGCCAGATGTATATAAGCCGTTTCTATAAAGTGGTTTACTGCGGATACAACGTACCGTCCGGCCAACTTGAAAACAAACAATACACATGATAAAAAGACATGAATTTTCAGTCTGAAGGACATAAACGGGGGTCGAGGCGAAGGAAAGCAAACGGCCGCGCGACGGGGAAGGAGGGGGCGGGGGCGGGGGGGGTTGGCGGGGTGGTAGGGTTGGACCAACCTTCGGCTCTATCCACGAAGCCGGTGATGGTGTTAGCTGCGGACCTGGCGGCTCGGAGGAGGCTGGCGTTGATTCCGAGTCTCTCGGCTGCCGAGTGAGCAGTGTAGATGGACATCATGAAGTGGTGAGGGATCACGCTGTGAGCTCGGCGGCGGCGGCGGCCCCGGGCAGAGGGCGGACCGCTCTCCTTCATCAGTAGCAGTTTCCTCGCCCTGGCATCCGTGTGGGGCCCGGGGCCGCCGCCGCCGAGCCCGGTCCCCGGGGAGGAGGAGCTGGGAGCCGGGGACAGCGCTGCAGGCTCCACGCCCTGTAAATCCCACCAGCAGCAACAGGTGACCGAGCAGAGGAGCAGAGCAGCGGCTCGGAGCGCCTCCATCCCGCCCGCTGCTGCCGCTGTGCAATTTGACAAACCGCTGCCGCTTCAGGCGCCCGTGTCCTTTCGACTGGGTTTGAATTTGGAGATAGAGAGAGGAAAGAGTGGGGAGGGGGCGGGAGGGGGGGGGGGGGACGGGGGTGGGAGTGCGTGAAATTTTGAAAAAAAATGTGAAGGAAGGGTGGGGGTAGGGTTAACAAAAAGGAAAAGCCACTCAGTCGTTCCTCAGCAGCAGCGCTCAGTCTGCCCGAGAGCAGCGCTCCAGCCTCCCCCCCCCCCCCCCCTAGACACACACACACACACACACACTCACACTCCTCCCGCCCTCACTCACACAGAGCCGAGCCCCGCCCAGGTACCCGCCTACTCGGCGCACCGCCCTGCCCTCATCGCTCCCTCATTGGCCAAGCCCAGCGCTCTACCCAGCCCCCGCAACCAGGGGGCGGGGAAATAACCATCTCCCCACCCGCTCCCCCACCCCCGTTACACTTCTCACCCTCAACTCCACCACCTACCTCTGAGGCGGCATGCGAGGGGAGGGGAGTGTTGACCTGGAGCCCCTGATCTATTCAGTTTCCCTCACTCCCACTCCCCAACACACACGCTTTCAATCCACTCCATACCCCAAATTTACACCAGACTTTGTCCGTTCGTCCAAGGAGATCCTTACACCGTTTATTCAGTTCCTAACTCCCAGGATATGTAGTTTTGTTTTGTGGGAGGGGTGTGTGTTATGCATCGGTCAGACCGTTTCGAAGCATGCTTGCACGTTAAGCGCGGAACTTAAAAAAAGTTGAAATTACGAATTTTGCATCCAACTTTTCACGCAACATTTTTTGAAACGATGTGGAACATGCATTTACTATAAAATATTTTACAAGCCAACAAACATGACGAGATAGGTAAGAGTTACACTGAAACCGTGATCACCTATTTCAATGAATGGTGTTCATCTCCAGAGATGGTCCCTCTAGTGCATATATAAAATTATACGGCATTAGTATTATATAGAGGTGAATTGCTAGGACATGATATACGGAATTCAAGTTTAAGGAGTATACCAAATAACTCGAGCGTCCCATCAGTGCAAGAATATTCCATGTGTTGAATAAATACAATTATCCTAGAAAAACAAATCTAAATGCAGTCTTTATGAGGAGCACGTGTATTTAGCGAAATGAAGTATTAATTTGCAGTCACTGATATCTTATTAAAATGAACTGTTAAAACACTTCGAACGCTTTCTCTTTTACACTTAAACTGACTTCACTGATATTTGGAGATAGTAGGAACTGCCGATGCTGGAGAATCTGAGATAACAAGGTGTAGAGCTGGATGAACACAGCAAGCCAAGCAGCATCAGAGGAGCAGGAAAGCTGCTGATATTCACTGATATTTATTTCATTGTTCTAGAAAGTTTCTGAAAAACTTTGGTACAAATGTAAATTACGACGATAAAGCAACAGTTTTATACTACGGTAGACAGGTTCGCACACTAGATAATTCATTAATATCGCATTTATGTTTCCTGTAACAGTGACCAGCTGACCATTGTGCGTTCAAAGTGCTATGGGCTGTTGCGAGCAGAGGCAAAGTTGACAATGTCTAAAACATTAAACGATTCCTCCATCTGGCGGCAGTGCTAAGCAGTAGTGCATCAAATATTTCGTAACTTTGGTATGCCGTAGCCCGTTCCTGCACTTATTATTCGACACTGATGTTGATTTAATATCATATTCCACTGATTTAACACTGAAAATAATGGCGAATCAATTTATTTTGTACAATTGTTTGATTTAGCTAATTTCTATTGATCCTTCATATTAGTCAACGTGACGGTGCAAATTGATACAACGCATCCGTAAACACGATATTCATTTTTTATTTCAGAAATAACCGTATATATAACCATCGTGGACTATTTAGCAAGGACGTCTTCCAACTACAGATTCTTTTTACTTAGTATCAGCTAATGTTTTACCTTTTCATATTAGATTACCATTTTGCTCTTAAGTTGTTTGAAGGAAAATACCAATTAATTCAATTATTTTCGAGCGAAATGACTTAAATTATCGGGAATAGGTTGCATATTTGACCATTCACTCATTTTGGTGTAAACAAACAATGTAATTAACATCTACCTATCCACGAAAATCAGGAAACGAAGAAAAATATAGAATAAATATTGAAGGTGGTGAAAATACTCTAGCGGCCAGGCTGCATTTGTAAAGAAAGGACTAATGGTATTAGTGGCGGTATTGAGGAAAATCCAGCCATTGTTTCCCAAAATCCTTTTAGGGAGAAAATAATTGTTTGTTCCTTCGTCAAAATTAAAACCAGTAAATGCATAGCAGGAAATTCTGTTTTTGCATTCAAGTTCAGTTGCGACGCGAAAAGCAATCGATCATGGTATATTAGCAATAATAATTCTTTAATGTGTCCGATATTTTACCCATGTTGTTTTAGGGTATACAAATATAGAATAAAATAGTTGAATAACAACTGAGAATATTGTCAAGGCATTGCATATATTCAAGCTAAGCGGTGACAGTGCTTACTTTCCACGCAAGAATAGGTCTAAGGCCAACATAGATAAAGACAATCATTTTGACACTGGATAGAGATTTGGAATCACAAAATAATTAAACATTTTGATTCATTGCGATGTATTTGATTTTGGATTCTTGTTTTGTTTTTATGTGTCAGGACCATAGAAGTATGAAACAAAATCAGCAAGTATTAGGTGTAAAGTGCATCAATCATTTCTTGTTATCCTACTAGTTACATCAATAGGTTTTATTGTGGCTACTTAATTTATTCATCTACAGTGAATATCTATTACTTGTGCACACAATGCAATAATGTGGCAATCAGATTTCCAGCAACTGGCCAACTTCAAATTGTCTAAAAATAATGTGAATGGGAATGCTGCTTGGATTTAATGCCAGATATTTGCACAATTTGTACGTTCCTTCCATATTTCTGAACTAGGTTTTAGACTCAATGCTATAATTATTTGAAGTTGAATGCATTGCAAAGACTAAACAGTACAAATGAGTGTGCTGAATACCATAAATAAACTAATGTATCCTTTATTTAAATTAACAAAAGATCATGTCTTTTAGGATAGTGGCCAAATCATCACGATATCAACACTGTTATCATAGTTATCAAATATCCAACATACCTATTATCTGCACAATTCTTAATTAACATAGAAATAAGAAGCATAAAGTATTAGAAAGATACTGGGAAAGTAAAATACAGTACAATTAAAACAGGAGGAAGTGAAGTAGAATGTGAAAAAGAGAAATCAGTTCAAAAATTGGCCAAGACAACAGAGATCTGGAGCGATTAAAGTCAGTGGTAAAGCTAAGCAACTTCAGACTACCAAGGCAAAAGGATAGAAGGCTGCTTGTGCATTTACACTGAGCTTGGTTTGGTTAATGTAGAGGGTTAAAGAAGGAAATTTTCAAATGGGAATGTAATGCTTACATGAAATGATAAAGAATTGAGAAGCTACCCTAACAGACAAAATGGATTTGAGTACACAGTTGAAACTAAAACAGAAATTGCTAGAGAAACTCAGTACGTCTGGCAACATCTGTGGAAAGAAGGCAGAGGGGTCTTTCTTCACTGGACTCAAAATGTCAACTTTGCTTTCTATACACAGATGCTGCCAGACCTGCTAAGTTTCTCCAGCAATTCCTGTTTTGTTCCAGATTTCCAGTAACCACACTTCTTTGTTTTGTTATGAGTGTAAAGCTATTTCCCAGTCTGCACTTGGACTTCCTGATGCATGAAATATTGCATTGTGAGCAATATATTATATTAGAAGAAATAATTGTTAATCATCACCTCATACAGAAATTATCTGGGCATTGAACATTTGTCTGGCCAGAAATGAATGGACAGGTGTTGCAGCTGCAATGATTTGATGAGAAAGTGCCTGTGAAGAAGAGAAGTGGAGGTAGTGGGAGTGAAAGAAAACTGAACAAGAGTGTTGTGGAAGGAATCTGTTCACAGGTTATTAACCTCGTTAGGTGATTCTTTGTAGTAACTTCAGCAAATGTGATCTGCGGCCTTTACCTGTCATTCACTTATCCCCTTTGTCTTTATCAGCCATTTAATATGGTTTGACTTCATCTTTCAGTATAAGAAATAGTCTCTATTAAAATGTTAAAACTTGTCTTCTTCTTTTCAGATGCTGCCAAATCTGTTGTTCATTTTCAGCATTTTGCAGGATCAACCTAGAAATACAATTGAGTCAGGTTTCTTCCTCCAACTATCAACAATAATATGCACAATATTAATGAAAGGAAGCTCACAAGTTGAGGACTAGAGTTACAGACTGCAAATGCTTTTTAAAATTGCACTTTCCACAGACAGGGATAGGAATCTTGTACTGTGAGGTTTATGTCTTCATATCTCTCCATTACTGCGACAATGAAATTCAAACCCAAATTACATGCAATTATATCTTATGGGACTTAATTCAAAACTTCCCCATACTACAGGCAGAAGTTAGTTTATTTCTGAATCAAGCAATTGAATTTGCTTTCAATTATGACTGCTGAAATAGAAATAATAAAATTGCTATCAGAATTCATGTAAGTTGAGTTTCTTAAGATCATTCTGAACTATATTATAAATAGCATTTTACACTTTGGGAGTTCTGATTAAACCTTGGAGCTAATTCATTGATCAGCAATAAAATGCATTATATCTGGATGTGGATCAATCGTGTTTAACTAACTGATAGGAAACATATTGCTTTTAAAGTAAATTGACACAGTCCATGATTTTGTAGTTAGTGTGATCATTTTTTATGTTTCTTTTACTCTTGCCTCCCAGCAAAGATTATATTTCATTTCTATCTCACAGAATACATTTATCCTGCACCTCTATACTTCTATAAATGTCTGCTTGATGCTCAAGACATTTTCCTTCAATAGGTTCACTAATGACATGTCAGTCATAGTAAGATTGTCACTTTCTAATTTGACTATGATGCTGCAGAGTTCTGCACAGTATCCTCAACTATCATCTTAACTAAGCCAAGGTGTGAAATTGAAACTTCTTACAAAATGTTTTGCCAATTTTGAAGAGATAGGAATGGTCTTAGAAATGCTAACGATATATGACTGTCCGTTATTGTTTTATGCCTACACAGCCATGCTATGTTTTAAATAAAATTGGCAAAGACTAGAATCTTGACCCTAGTAAAATACAATTCAGTCAGAATGCAGAATTAACTAGGCCTGGACAGTATCATACAGTTGAATTCATTAGTCATACTCAGCAGATTTGCAGTGATATACAACAATTCATCCTTATTGACTTATTTATAACACAATACCAGTCTCTGAAACATAGATGAATACATTTGTTGACTTTCTGTTTGACATTGGGTAATTGACCCTCTTCTTGAGAAAGTAAAGACTCATGAATCTTTCAAAAATAATGGGAATTCTGGTAAATCCTTTCCTTTTGTAATGCTAGTTCATTCTTGTTAAGGTGGAATGGAGATTACACTGAATCAGTGGGGAACATTGTATCAATTGAAAGAAACACAGCAATGAATGCATTTGCTCCTTCCCGAGAGTGGAACTCCATTCCACTGCCAAAATGCCAAGCTATTATTTTCTAAAA